AGATGTTGTTTTATTATTAATAGTTAATTTCCGCATTAAGTTTTATATTTGATGTACTAGTTTCATTGCAGGTGTAAAAATCATAGTCGGAATTCATGGAAAAATCAATTAAATATTCTTTGTTTTTGACGCTATCGGCGGAGTCCTCAAACATGATAAATTTACTATTGTCACAATCATACGTGGTAAAGCCATACTGCAGCTATGTTAGTAGTATAGTTGTGGCAGGAATGGGTTGGCTTGACCGAGGAAGGACCACGATCTCACAGCAATACCGGCTTAAAATAGCAGCTTAACGCTGTTGTGTTTCGTATGGTGACTGTAGAGAACCGAAGACCATTTTTACTGGAAAGGAGGCATTCCATCTTAGTCCTCACGGGTGACAACGCATTTGCATTTTGATTCATAATCGAGGATAGATGTAGATGTCTATGGGCCACAGCAACCACTTACCATCAGGTAGACTGTGTGCTCGTTTGTCACCTTTCTCCTATAAAAAAAATCATCTTTGTCGAGCAATGGAAGGATTTCAAGTCATTTTAAAGAATTACGTGTAAAAAACTGTTCTCTTTGTTGAGTTTTAGAAACCAGAATATTAAGATCAATATCTCAAACCACATTAAAAGAATTACTAAATTCATTTCGGAAATCAAAAACGCCCCTTGGCACCTCTTTACAACTCATAGCCGCAATAACTCAAAAAATCACAAACTGTGATTTAGTATTTATAGCCAATCAAATCTTGTCTGTTTTTCCTTTAAATAATTGCAAAACTTTACTTGTTATTATTAGAATTTATCAGCTTAAAATTTTACATAAAAAGATCCCTTAACATATCTGCAATAACTTTTACTTGTTGCGCTTATGACTAGTAAATGTGTCCTAAATTGAAAAAAATGCGCTAGTCATAAGTGCAATAATTGGACTTATTGCGGTAATCTATAGAAATATCACAAAATATTATAGCTAACCATGCCACAACTTAAGTTATTTCGTTCATGATATGCAACTTACAAATAGTATTATTAGATATTGCAGTTATGCTTAACAAAAGAACCGAATCTACTGTTAATACAAAAAAGATGTCTAAGAAGAAAATATAGAGTTCATTTTCCTGATTACGGATATGTACTTAAGTCAGAAAGCCCAAAAACTGCAGTTATTGCACTTATCGTAAGGACGGCAGTATAGTCTGAAAACTAAATATTACACTTTTACATTTTACTTTATTTTTTCAAGATATAATAATGAATCTTTTTTGTATTTGAGATTGATGCAATCAGTATACTTATGGAATATTTAATATTGTTATTATGTTATATTATTACCACTTGTAGTAAAAGACTTTGAGATTGTTTATAAAGTGTAAAAATTCACATGGAATTGCCATTTCATATAGTAAAAAATAATATTAAAAATTAATGTGTCAAAAATGACGTATTTTCACAATATAATTACCGACTTAAAAGAGCAGGAGTACTCAATTTGACTGTTTCGATGATTCTTTTTTTACCTGAAAGCTGGTGCTTCTCTTGTGGTTCCATATAAACTATTCAAAACAAAATAGGGCCCACCATGTTTTATAAATGAATTTTACAGACTCTTTTTCTTTGATTAAAACTACTTTTACGGATTTTATCGCGTTTTATTTATATTAATTTTAATTAAATAAAAAAATTAATATAAATAAAATGCGATAAAATCCGTAAAAGTAGTTTTAATCAATGTATAGTGTTCGCGTAAATGTAAGAAATCGTTATTCTTTTTTCTTTTTTTAGTTTTTATGATTAGGAATGAATAAATTAATGTTTTTGGAAGTGTGTCAACATTAACAAGAGTAAGTTTTGACAATTTTGTGGAATTTAGTCAAAATTTACAGTTTTAGGAAAGTTTACAGAAATTATTGATTTAAGTAAAGTTTGATTTTGATTTTTATTATTGACTAAATCAATGAGTTGGATGGTGCTTAATAGCGAGTAGGTCCTCCTCTTTCCGTATGCACTCTCTGAATCTATCTGGGACACTTTCAACCAAGTGGGTGATGTTTTCCTCAGGTATTCACTCCCAATACAATTTTAGGGCGTTTATGAGCTCTTGTCGATTAGTCACATTACTGACGTTCGATTTGAGGCTTCTTTTCAATTGGTCCCATAAATGTTCAATGGGGTTAAGATCGGGACTCATGGCCCGCCAGCCCGCCACGGTAAAACCGTAATATTGGCTTCAGAGAGAGCTCTCTGGGTTCTTCGCGCTGCATGTGAGCGAGCATTGTCTTGCATAAGAAGTTTTCACCCATTCTTTGTGAAAATGGGATGACATGGGGCTGAATTATTCGATCGACATACGACACACACTGGGAGGCAGTTATGGAGCCTTCTTCCAGAATTACCAGCTCAGTTTTACCGCGCAAGCTTATTCCAGCCCACACCATTAACATTTGGACCTCCAAAACGATCTGTTTCATGTATGCAAGGTTCTGAAAAACAATCTCCTTCTCTTCTCCACATGCGCACTCGATGATCATCACTGAAAAACTTCACTTTATTTTCGTCCATAAAGAGAACATTTCTCCAGTTGTCCATTGTCCACTCCGCATGCTCGCGAGCAAACCTCAAACGTGTTGCATGATGCGCTCTTGTCAATTTTAGACGAATAACACGAGATCTGGAACATTGCCCGTCTTCGTGGAGCCGATTTCGAATGGTCTGATCACTAATTCGTGTGCCAGTCGATTTTGTAAGACGCGGGCGGGAATCGTATGCTCTAGACATGCAGTCAATCTGATATACCGGTCTTCCTGAACGGTTGTAGCTCACGCTCTTCCTGATCCAGATCTCCTCGCGACACTACCTGTCTCTAGAAAGCATTCCCACACGTTTCGAATAGCTCATCGCGACACACCAAGACGTCTTGCTACTGATCTCTGAGATTCTCCCTCGTGAAGCATAAACACTGCTCTTGTTGCTGTTTCCACATCCATATGACGCCGAGAACCATGCATAATGATCATGAGTAACACAGAAATCAAGTCAAAATGAAAAAAGTAGACGTGCGACCGCAACATTCAGAATGTGACTGAGGGTACAAGTGACTGAGAATTTGAGTAATAAATTTTTTTTGGAGTACTTCACTTTTTTTGTCTACACACCATTGAATTCCTGACTTGAAACATTGATAGCGTTAGATAAACATGTCAACAATACTTCAAAATGTTCTTCAAAGAGAACTTCACTATTCTACTACCCAATTATTTTTTAGACTAAATTCGAGATTAACTTAGAGTGGGCCCTATTTTGTTTTGAGTAGTTTACATTTAATTAAAATCTGACTAGTAGTTTTTGAGTTATCTTTAAAAATGCAAATTTAAATGACTTTGAATAATGATCTCATTTTAATTATGTATATTGAAGTCAGTTGTACAAAATTTTTAATTTTACCATTTTGTAGTTTGGCACACAGTGTGGTAAGCACACTTTAAAAATAATTTATATTATATTAAATTGTAATCATTGCAAACTATAGTATATGCTTCAAATTTTTTATTTCATCATAACTCTGTAAAAGGATTTTATGTTAACAAATATCACATATTACAGATTGTTTTTTTTTAAATCCAATTTCTTCTAAATCTAGAACATTTTAGTCTTAGCAGTCGATCAAACAATAAAATTGTTTATTTCAGGAAATTCCTTTTTCCTAAAAATAAGTTGAGATCAAGCTCTAGAATTAAAAGCTTTATATAATTTATGTATCATTGTGATTTATTCAAACTTAATTACTTATCCGATTTTTAATATTGATTTTAATAATCATCCATTAGATTTCAACTAACCTAGTAGTAAGTAAAATATGCATGTTGTCAAACTAACACATAGAGAATTTCATGTACCTATAAACACACATACATAAACTCTCACGCCTGTCAACCGGAGGGGTAGGCAGAGATTACAGACTTCCATTTGGCACGATCCTGACACACCTCTCTCGCCTCCTTCACGTCCATATACCTATGCATACATGCTTGTCGGTTAAGGGTACTCCTAATTTGGCCCATTTTCAATAAATCGTTAATTTGGTCGATAAATTTTTGCCTAGGACATCCCTTTCCGACTCTGCCATTCACTTCTGCAACATAAATATACAAAATTATAATAATAGACTTAAGAATAGGGAAGGAAACTAGCCCCTGAAATACAGGTATTATATCCTAGTTTAGAGGCTAATGACCACTGTAAATTTTGTGCATGTAATATGCACAAAATTTACAGTAGTCATTTTTATTATTATTATTATTATAAATAAACACACAATCCCGTTATATTTCACTTTAGTTTATATTTTGAGAGAGTGTAACGATAAATAAATCGTAATCGATGTCCAGTACCGAGCTACGATCTGAACAATTCAAATAATCACATTTATATATTTTATTGGTTGGGAAACTATTATTCTTAATTTATCAATGTAATGTATTTAAACGAGTCACAGATATTATGAGCAGCCAATTCCCGGACTACACGGGCTCTAAAATAATTTTTAGAATCAGTAGAACGCCGTCATCTTATTGTTCGGGGAACCTAAGAATTTCCCGCCTGTCACAGCGATCCTAATGAGCGAGCCATGTCAATCACAATAATTGACAGGCTCTCGTATTTAGTTATTTTTGTACTTTCGACGGGGAGCGGCCTAAAAACCAACTCCCGACACTACGAAGCTGAAGCAATACAAATAATATAACCAATTTATTTGTCACCTGTCAATATCGTATCGTAACCTCAAATTTCAAGAGATCAACAATAGAACGTGCAGGTGACAATAAGCATTTACGGGTTATACAATTAACAATTGCATATTTGGCGTTATTTTATGATTCGCTCGGATTGAGTCAGTTTAAGTGCATTTCTGGTTTTTGTAAAAGAAAACATGATGGTGGTATCCAAACACGGCCATTTTCATACGAACGGTTTAGGATGACAATTTGTGGACGGAACATCACTCACCCTTTCCACGTCGAGATCGGTTCCTGTGCACAGTCTTTTACCACCACTACCGTTGTAAGCCATGATACACCACAACAAAAAACACAAATCACACCGTAAACGCGTTTAGTTAAGACGAGATCGAGCACTCCACCTCCTTTTGCGATCGCGAGCAGACTGGACTGGATTGAACGAATGTACTACGGAATCGTGAACGAACAAAGAGCGGCAACGCGTCGCGAAAAGAATCATAGACAAAGATGACGTTCATAAAACCATAAACATAAACAGATTAAAAAAGCTATATTATTACTTCTACTCTCGCGTCACGGCTATATTTCGCAACAGCGCGTAAATCTTCTATAACTTCATAGTTATTCATTGAATTAAATTTAAGAAATCTTTCATAGTTATTCGTTGCAAAAATGCCTTCCTGTGTTTTTAGGTGGTGCACAAATAGCACGGCAACTGTTGGAGACAAGAAAAACGTCTCATTTCATTTGTTTGCGTTGAATATATGTTTTGTTCATGATTAGTTTCATTATTTTAACATTAACCGCTTGTGTAAACTTTGATGCTAGCTAGTGTGTTCATGATCCCTATTTTCCTCCGTATCGGTAAGTCACGCGCTCGCGCCAGCAAGCGCTCAAGAGCAATCAATACGTAACTAATAATGTATATTGATCTTTTTCTAACGATAGGTATACATTATTAAGCGCCTCTTTTTGTTAGCGCAACGTGTCATAATAAATAATTGTACGTAGATATAGTACTACCTGCGCCACTTTAAAATACAATAATGTTAGTGTATAACTCCTGTCTATCCTTAATACGTCTTTGGCTGTGTAGGATGGATTGGACATAATCATCAAGCCAAGTATTCTAAAACAGTTACCGAAACGTTTGTGCCGATTTGAATAGCTGCCATTGACTGTACTAAGAACTAAATTTGACATAATTTGCAAAAAGCCGTTGTTTTGCTCAAAACGTCTAGGAGTATTTTTCTGTTAAGTTTCAGTTAAAAGTAACTAAAAAAATATTTTTAGTTAGAATGATAATGTAAAATTTGTTACCAGAAGGGAAGTGTGATAAAATTGAACAGGTAAGGAGATTCACAGGTTATATTAAAAAAAAATAAAAATATTTACTAACAATTATAGGCTCTTTAAAATCTGTCATGATCATATTAAACGTAATTATTAACATGTTTGGCTTCAAATTATCTATTTTTGATAAATAATAATATTCAATAGGGTTGACAAGTTCCTTGTCGATAATACATATCGATGTTTTTTCTACCTAATATCTGTTTACAACAATGAAATCGCCGACGACAGATAATTATCAATTTTTAGGTTTTCAACTGAATCCTTTCTAAAACTGTGACTAAAAGCATAAAACTTGTGAATTGGCGTCCGACGCAAATTGATTATGACGTCAATGATTTATGATATAGTACTCTTTAGTGTAACTCAAAGTTTGTAAAAATCTAACTGTAGCTATAGATATTGTTGAAACAGGCAAAATATTTTGGCACCTTATTATTTTGTTTATTTCGAGGACTAAATGAATGGTTAAGAAGAATTTTTTTACAAAATTATTTTGGATTGTTATTTTATAGTTACTTCAGTTTTTCCTACTCATAGGACTTTTTTGCACCTCTAGAATGAACTATTCATATCCAACAGTGAAATTAGGAACAAAACTGTTCTATTGTTAGGAAGAAAAACGTCGATAAATTAGTGCAGCGTTGACTTTTTTTTAAATTGGGTGTAAAGCTTGTGCCTAAGTCATTAGTATTAATTAATACATTTATTTATCGTGTTGCATTATATTAAAATGGTACATAAATATAATGTAGACCTTGGTATAAATTTTTATCGATATACATATATTGTCACACTGTCCAACAATTTTTATTATTAGTTCCGTGGACGCTCGTTTCTGTTATCAGCGCCAAAATGGCGAAAATCGAATCGCCTCATTATGTTACGGTGTATATCCAGTCAGTTCAACCTACTTGTATAATAGAGTTCAATTATTAGCACCCTTGTAATATCACTAAGTATTAGCTTGAATATTGTCATTTCCATCTCAGTGCTATTAGAATAAAATGAAAATACTAGTTACTTTATATTTTAGTTGACATTAATATTTATTGCTACTGGAACTCACACTGTTAATTTTGTATTTTTATCAAGCTCACTAATTATAAAATTATATAAAACTAGCTTTTTACCCGCGGCTTCTCTCACGTCGTCTTTAATTTAGCAACATTAATAAAAATTGTTCCGTTCTAACTTTGGCATAATTCGATCACTATTATGGTGGCCACACACGGTCATTTATAGTCATCAGTTGAACTGAAATCAGTTCGAACGGATTCAAGCCAAAGAAATTTCCACAGACACGATCAGTTCAACTGATCATTCCAACTGATCAGTCCAAACTAGGACTGTGATATTTTTAAAATATCGTATCTTTGATGTATCGATAATTATAAATATATGAATGTTGGAGTTTTATATATCGTAAGTTAACATACAGTAAGTCAATATCGGAGTTTTATAAATCGAAAAAAATATCGTTATATCGGCTTTATTTAAAAAAAAAACAACTGTAAGTTATTTTAGTTTCGTTCATTTATTATATTTATTAAGCCAGTTAAATTTTAATGTATGAAAATGTTTAATTATGGTTCCTATTAAAAATACATAAAAAACATAAACACTCACGCCTGTCACCCAGAGGGGTAGGCAGAGACTACAGACTTCCATTTAGCACGATCCTGACATACCTTTCTCGCCTCTTCCACATCCATATACCTACGCATACATGCTCGTCGGTTAAGGGTACTCTTAATTTGGCCCATTTTTAGTATATCGCCAATTTGGTCGACAAACTTCCGCCTAGGACGTCCCTTTCCGACTCTTCCATTCACTTCTGCAACATATATTTGCTTTGTCAGTCTTTCCGCATTCATTCTTTCTACATGACCAAACCACCGAAGCATTCCTTTCTTAATCCTGGTCACCGCATCATCTTGCAAACCACACTCTTCTTTTATCACACAGTTTCTCACCCTGTCACTCAGATTCAGCCCTAACATACTCCTTAGCGACCGCATTTCTACTGCATTTATTCTACTCTCGTGCTTCTTCTGCCACACCCAACTTTCACTACCATACGTTAAAGTAGGGACTAATACAGCACTGTGAATTGCCATACGTGCCTTTTTTGACACATTCTGACTTTTCACAATAGAGTGTAGAGCCCCATTTACTTTATTTCCTGCATTCACTCGTCGTTCAATATCCTTATCATATCTCCCATCCCTGCTGAATACACATCCCAAATATACGAACTCATCCACTTGCTCAATTAACTCTCCTTCTATTCTTATTTCACATACCGTTTTGCTTTCATCTCTTTCAAAAACCATCACTTTCGTCTTACTTGCGTTCACTTTCATTCCCCTTTCTTTTAATGACCTGTTCATTAATGTAACCATCATTTGCAACTCGGCCGCCGACGACGCAAGTATGACTTGATCATCGGCGTACAAAAGGCATTTGATGGTTAACTCACCCATTCTTAACCCGCATTCTTCAACTTTCAAATTTTCCAAACAACTGTCCATAAATAGGTTAAACAGCCACGGGGAAGCTACACAGCCCTGTCTGACACCTTTATGGATGCCAAACCAGTCCGAGTAGACCCCGTTGATTCTAACACAAGCACTCGAGTCCCTATACAGAGACTTTAATGCCTGTATCAAACCAGCGCTCAACCTAAATGCGTTCAGCGTTTGCCATAACACATCCCTGTCCACTCTGTCATAAGCCTTTTCCAAGTCCATGAACGCACAAAAAACTTTTTGGTTTTTCGCCAAAAACTTCTCCGCGATCATGCGCATGGAAAAGACTTGATCTGTACACCCCATTCCCTTTCTAAATCCCGCTTGCACATCCCAAATTTTTTCATCAGTTTCTTTCATAACTCTTTCAATTAGTACCTTAGCATACAGTTTTCCCACAATGCTAAGAAGGCTGATACCACGGTAGTTTTTACAGTCCTGCTGTGACCCTTTTCCCTTATATATTGGGACTATCACGGTTTTGCACCAGTCTCCCGGTACCCGCTTTAGTTCCCAACATAAATTAAACAAGGTGTACAGCAGGCCTGCCACCACGTCCTCTCCAGCCCTTAGCATTTCGGGTGAAACTCTATCATATCCGGCTGCCTTACCTACTTTCATGCTTTTCATTGCTTTCATTATTTCATCTATACTTATCTCCCTATCTCTTTCATCTTCTTTCGGAATTTCTATTTCATTTAGTTCACACTTCTCCTCACTCATAAATTCGCTTTCAAAATATTCCTTCCATCTCTTTAGACTCAACACTTCATCATTCAGGATACAGCCATTCTCGTCTCGTATCGCATTCAATCTAGGCTGTTTTGAAAGTCCCCTGGTATTTCTTACGAGTTTCCAGAACATTTTAATATTTGCCTGGAAGTTATCCGATATTCTTCTATCATTCCTATCCGTTCTTTCTTGCTTTTTCCTTTCAACTAATTCTTTTACTCTCTTATTTAAACGTTTAAACTCAGCCTTTTTTCTTTCATTCTCATCATTCTTACCGCCAGAATTACCAGCTTTGGTCGCTAGTAAATCTAGCCATGCTCTCTTCTTTGCTTCAACTTCCATACGTACCTCATCATCCCACCATAACGTATTGTCTTTCCTTTCATTCGTTCTCTTACTAACACCACATACTTCGGTAGCTGCATCCACTAAACCTTTCTTAACATTATGCCACACATTCTCCAAGTCTAACTCATTCACACACAACTCATCCAAATTACTTATATTTTCTCTCAGTCTGCATTTGTACTTGTCTTTCACATCTTCATCTTGTAACCTCTCAATTCTTATACGCTGTAACGCAGTGGTAGACACAGATGTCCTATGCCGCCAACGTCTGAATAAACCCCTAATTCGGCATAAGACCAGGTAGTGGTCCGTCTCTACGTTGGACCCCCGGTAAACCCTTGTATCCACCACTGCGCTCCTCATTCTT